ATTTCAGGAAAGGGTACCTTAGGATCCAGTCCGCGTCCGGCCTCTTCTCGTGTTTGAATTGGTAGTAATTCCACAACCGGACCAGCACGCGGTCGCACTTCACCAGCTGAACCATGTCCTGCACGCTGAGCTTTCCCAACTTCGCCAACGACGGGGAGCCGGCCTGGACCCAAACGACCTCGCAAGCAAGCACCTTTTTCAGAACGCGACACTTCTCATTGTCCGTGAGTGATTCCATTGCTTTCGAACAATGCGCGTCCGGGTCTGGCACTTGCACGAACCAATCGCCCTCCTCTTTCTCCTTTTTGCCCTTTTTTATTCGGCGGGTCTACGGGAACGTTGTACACCACCTCCGTTCTGCCCAATTCGTCGTTGTGGATGTAGGCGACCTCAGGCTTTACGTTTTTCACCTTCTTCTTTTTGACGGTCCACTTCGCCCCATCGTGGCTCAGCAATCTGCCCGTCTCCCATTTTTCGAAAAATTCCACGGCCAGTTTCCAGACATTTTCCCCGGCCATCGCCAGAAGTAAGTAAGAACGCAGGGCAGCATTTTGCTTCTTAATGGCCTCCTCTTCCTTTTGATCTGCGAGAAGCCACAAGCTGTTTTGAGGCGCCTTATGGAGCGCCGTTGTACAAAACTTACGCCAAGCCCGGACGTGATCTTGTTTCCCGCTAGGGTTCCCCATCACAGCTCTCGGGCAACCGTCATGCTTCCACTGCCATCGAATGTCTTTCATAGAAAGTTTCAACTGTCTGGGAGGCCACTTCAAGTCCTTGTTGTCGTGTGAACTAACAAGAAAATACCCTTCGAAGTCATCGTCGGAAAAGTACCCTATCCGTGCCGGCCACCGCTCGAAATTGTACTTCTTGGCCACCTCGCTGTCGAGCAGCGACCTAGCTGCAGCCGCGTTGTGCTGCCCGCACACCGCGTAGTAGTAGTATTCTCCCACCAGCTCATCCCTCCACTCCTCGAGCTTCAGACGTTGTGCCTTGGTCCCAGGAGTTGGTTTTTGAAGACCCAGTGGTGCGAGCTTGAAGACCGATAACTCGTACGTCTGCTCTTTATTTTCGAACACAGACCGCATTGCTTCCCTTATCGTTTCCACGAGGACGGGATCTAGCGACCGCTGGTTGTAAAGATCCTCCCACTCCCTTATGTCAACGATCTGAGCCGGGCTGATCTCAAACTCCCAACTTGTCCTGACGCCGTCTTTGTACTCCAGGAAGTACCCGGCGTCCACGTCGATGGCAGGCCGTGGTGAAGAAGGTCCCGACTCAGGCTGTTCATGTTTCGAAGCTGGACGTTTGCTACCCGGGTGGCCCTCTTCCACCCCCCTCCCCTTCCGTTTCTCCCCCGCAGTCCTCGGGGTCTTGTTCTTCTGTTTCTTCGAAGAGCCCACCAACTCTTCTTGACATTCTCCCCTCTTTTTTTGGGGAATGCCTTGCGCTCCCTCCCCGCCCACGGCCTCGCCTTCCGCGCCATGGCCCTCGGCAGGATCCAAGTCAGACCCACACAGGACTCCCTCTTCTCCGGGATCCGCTGCGGTCTGTTGCCGGACCCCAGGTATGGACAGCACGGACCTGTCTCTTTCCCTCGACGGCGAAAACAGCGGACGCGGTGTCGCCTCATCTTCGCTGTCGTCAAACTGACCTCTAGCATCCTCCCGCTGCACATGTGTAGCCTCCCCGGAACCCATATCACCCCCCTCCCCCGCTGCCCCGCTCGACTCACAACCGCCGCACGGCAGCAAAGGCATCGACAGTTCCAGGTCGGGACCGACTTCGCAAGGGACGTCGAGGGGGATGCCCTTGTCCTCCAACAGGTCGAAGAACTCTCGACCCAAAACAAACCCGCCCTGCCACCAGAGGTCGTTGTAGAACGGGGTGTTCGCGGTACCCGCTCCGAACCCCTCGAACATACACATGTCGAGAACTGCCCCCTTGGCACCGGCGACGACGTTCCCCTTCGAACCGTACACATGTTTCATGTAAAATCGTCAACGACTGCCTTTCTCATTCTCCCACCGCAAGACAGACCCCAGAACCCTGCGGCGCTTGTTGGCTTCCACGAAGATCACAGGACCACACGGTTGTTGGACTAGGTTCGTAGCAGCAGCACAACACCAGTCGACGAACCATTTCGACCTAGCGTGGTCGGACCACGTCCTCGAGGTCGTGGACGACCGTTTTGTAGAATCTTTCCCAGATCCCATCCGAGAGGTCGCTGCAGGCTCCCCTTCGCCCCTGGACGAAGACATATTGTCTGCGGACAACAACAGAAAGCAAATAAAACACCAGCGAGCGTCAAATCGCAGTCGAAGCACAACGTAGGCGAAAAACAGAGGAGGCACACCTTGCCCTCAACACGTTGGTCACATGACACTATCTGAGGACCTCGAAGTTCGGATCCCGGCGAACTTCTAACGCGAAGACCAGCAATGACCTCTCACCTGCAACGAGATCATTCTTTACAAGGGCACACGCTTCATGCAATCGGGCGACAACCACGTCGTTTTTTTCCGGAACACGGATGTCCACCCGACCGGGAAGGGACGGGTGGTGATTCGCCGAGATCCGTATTAAAAGTGCCTGTCCGAAGCTGAACCAACGCACCCACCGAAACGAGAAGTTCGCCAGGATCCGAACTTCAGGAAAATATGACAGGCAGAGACGGCGTCAGGCAAACACAGATTGGACTGAACGACGACCCGGAAAGGCCGCACTAACACAAAAGGCCGCTTGAGAAGGACAAGTTCCCCGAAATCCGAAAAACTTATGATATGCGCAGCTTGGCATTGGATGAAGCCAAGTTCAAACGAGCAGCCGCGACAACATTGTATGAGTCCCCGGAGGAGCAGTTGTGGATCAGGGTTTGACTCGTGTCGCAATCCACCGGGGATCATCAAGCCCAGCGCCCGTTCAATACACAGGCGTCACAGGAAGTTCGTCGGGATCCGAACTTCACGAGGCTACGAGAGAGACAGACAGAAAGTTGGGATCCTAGCAAGGTGTCCTAGCACGGTGCCAACGGTATTTCCAACAAGAGGGCCCGCCAACCGGGATCTCCAACGGGTTTCAGGGAATGCGAAGCTTGCGCGACCTTGCGACGGGGATCTCTAAGAGTGCTTTTGGCATCTCGCTACGACAGTGACCGACTGTTTGGCACATGTTGATGGTGGTCGGGCGAAAACCGGTTACGGGCAGATCCTTCCACGGTGATGGGTCTTTCCTACGGCCCGTCCGACGCCAATGACATCAGAGACAAATTAACGGAGAGGCCAGAACGCGAAGTTCGCCGAGATCCGAACTTCGCCGGGGCACGACATGGCAGGAGACGGCGTCAGAGACGGACGTTCAACATGACTTTCGTCATGTCACTGAACCGAACGACGACCAGGGATTTGCACGACAAGCGCGCAGTGCAGTGTGTACCAGCAACCGCGGAGTCTCACACTTCTCTGCAGTCCTACAAATCTGACATGTCAGGTAGCACAACCGCATCTCGTCCCTCACCGTTCTTTTCCCTCAAACTGAAGGACTAAAGACCGGTTCGGATGCGGCGACATTTGGGGATCCTCCGGGACGACGTCGTGAACCGAAGCCAAACAAAGCATTCAGTGACGATCCGTAGACGAGGGTCTGCGGTTCGTCGACCGATGGAATCTCCGAAAAAACGGATATGTATTTCATCCTAACAAACACCCCCGGTCGTGCCAAGGGGTTTCCTATGCAGTCCCGTATGTCAGCCGCTTTCTCCTCAACCTCACGAAACAACGAATAGTTTCGAACCTCACCTGCTATCACCAAATCTGGCCACCCTTCCACACGTTCAGGCCCACACATTAGCACGAATTTGGACCCTTCAATCACAACCTCGTTGCACGACACGAGCACAACTGCGTTGACGAGTTTCCTGCTCTTGTTCGAAGCAGCAACACACAAAACTCTGGCGAAATCAGATCCGAACACAGTCAACCACACACAGCAGTACGACACAGCTCGTGGAGAAATCCCGGGGCAACAGAGCGGGTACTGGTCCAGGAATGAGCAGCGACGAGCGCAGTCCATCAACTCTTGTTTTCGCGAGCCACCCCAAGTTCGTGGCGACGACCTGACGTTGTGGCACTTGAGGCGACTGAAATAGCGGCTAATGCAGCTTAGTGCTTTTCGCATTTGGTTCAGGAACATATGCCCGAGGACGGCGTCAGGCAGTGGGATGAGGTCCCCGAACTCCAACATATTCGCGAACTTGTATTGGCTTGCCCAAGGGCAGTGACTCTCCATACTGGCCCAATTGCCCTCGCCCCAGTTGTCAAGATGCGCGTCCCTGCATGGAACGACGGTCATCCATGGGTCCTCGTCGAAGTCCTCTGCGGTCGCTCCGTGGATCGTCGTCACACCGTTGAAATGCCGCACGAATTTCGCACAAGGACGAAAAGGTTCTGCTAAGCGAATGTGCGTCTCAGCACTCATGGCCTGTGGTCTCGAGAAGATCGACTCGAAGATGCGTGGTGTCGAGAGGGTCCCCTCCATCACGCAACCTGCACACCACGCGCACATGCCCGACGACACACATGGGCACGGAGACACTCGTAAACGCGTCATGTCTCGCGATGTGCGACCCATGGCATTAGACGTAGTGTATGCCCCAAGATCCGATTTCGGGTTGCTGGCTTTGTCGGTGTTCACATCTACCGGCCCGCGGGCCAGCCGCAAACACGCCCAGCGACATGTTCGCCTGGATCCGAACTTGGAGAGACTGCGCGGAAAAGACGAAGCTGTCTCCCAAACCCAACGTCGAAAACTGCCAAGAAGTTCGGATCCAGGCGGACTTACAATTTTGCACGAATGAAAAGTTATGGCAATCCACCGGCCGCCAGGAAGTCCACAGTCAGACCCCGCACCACCCGAAAGGTGAAGCACGTCGGGGTCCGAAGTCGACGGTTTTCCGACGAACCGTGCAGGGGAAGTTCGAATCTCAGCGGACTTTGCATTTTATAGAATCCGTAGTCCGCCGTGATCCGAAATTTACGATTTCATGAGGAACCGTGCACGACAGGTTCTGATCCACGGCCATGCAGGAACATCTCCTGCCACATGCATTGCGAAAGGAAGATAACTCAAATTCGTTGGGATCCGAACTTGGAAAATTCGTCGGGATCCGAACTTGCGAAAGGAACATCTCCTGCCACATGCACTGCGAAAGGAAGACAGCAGGTTCAGATCCACGGCCCAGCAGGCGAACCCGACGATGGGACAAGGAACTATTGCACGAGAAGTACGGATCCCGGGGGACTTCGCATTTTTCCGAAACAAAAGTTGTGGCGATCCCGGGGGACTTCGCATTTTTCCGAAACAAAAGTTGTGGCAAACACCCGTTCGCGAGAAAGGACACAGTCAGTACCCACACCATGCGCGAAGCGAAGTTCGCCGGGGTCCGAACTTGCCACGCGATGTCCGGATTCACGGGAGGGTGTTCGCCGGGATCCGAACTTCTCGAGACCGCGTGGGAGAGAATCAACCGGCGGGCTATACATTTTTTCAAATATAAAGTTGTGCCAAACCTCGGGAGCTAGAAACCCGTGTTTTGAACCCTGCACATTGAGACAAGCGAAGTCCCCGGAGTGCGAACTTGACGTCTGTGCGAGGAACCGTGCAGTAGAAGTCCGGATCCCGGCGGACTTCGCATTATCACGGATCCGAGGTTCGCCGAGGTCCGGACTCGGCGAGTGTGCAAGGAATAGTGCGAGCGAGGTTTGGATCCGCAGGCCAGCAGGAACCTGTAGTTGGCAGGGATCCAAACTTTGAGAAATTACGTGGGAGATACACACCTGTCTGCCAAACTCGCCGTCTTGCGAATTTCTTGAAGTTCGGATCCCGGCGAACTTCATATTTTCCCACGTCCCAGGCTGTGGTTGCGAACCTCGGTTGCGAGGGAGACATACAGCTGCATGAAGTTCACCGGGATCCAGACTTGGCGAAATTGCGTGGGAGACATACACATGTCTGCCGAACTCGTCGTCCAGCAATTTCTTCAAGTTCGGATCACGGCGGACTTCCAATTTTTACACGTCCCGGGCTGTGGTTGGGGACCGGGGTTGCGAAGCGTGTTCGAACAGCTGCATGAAGTTCACCGGGATCCGAACTTGGCGAACTTGCGCGGGAGATGAACACGTGTCTGTCAAACTCGCCGTCCAGCAATTTCTTGAAGTTCGGATCCCGGCGGACTTCTAATTTTCCACGTCCCTGGCTGTGGTTGCGCACCGGGGTTGAGAAGCGTGTTCGAACAGCTGCACAAGCTCGCCGGGATCCCAACTTCTTCCGGTGTTTGATTGCGTGATCAGTTTGGTTGGAACGGCCACGTTCCGATCACGAGAACAGTGTCGGCGACGCGTGGGGTGGTGGGTGCTCAAAGTTCGACGCCCGACGAGGTTCGACGCCCGCTGAGGTTTGATGTGGAGCCAGGTTCCGTGGGCAGCATGGTTCGATGTGCAACAAGATTGTGACGAAGTGCTTTTTATTCGTTCGAAGATCGGGATCGACGTTTTTCCAATCGGTTGTGCATTTCATTCGCTGGTTTCGACCGTGCACATGATCATTTGCCTTGAGGATTCTCCGCGATCGTTCTCCACGATCAATTAGCACAGAACAGTCGATTGGTTGATCGGTTGCTCGGTTGGCGGTTGGTGTGGTGGTTGATCAACCAGCAGAGCAATCGCCAACCGAGCTGTCGACCAATCAGTTGATCCTGGCAGATTTTTTGACCGATCGACGGTTCGGTCGAGGACTGTCAGGTGGGTAAATAAACAGGTCGCTCGCCGGCGGGTTGATCTTCGGTGCAGTATACACGATCAATCATCCGATCGCAAGTAATCTTCTGTCGTTTCGCGATTGGTCGGTTGGATGCGTTGTCGCCTCCTGCATTGGTTAATCATCCGTCGGGCAGATCAGCGGYGYTGTTGTTGGGRAGGCAAACARCATYTATCACCCGATCGCRAGTGGTCGGCTTGCGTTTYGTGATGGGTTGGTTCATCACGTGTGTGGTGTACATATTGTCATGGATCTGATCGACCATCAGATCACGAGTGATCTGAACACACACGACAGAAAAAACAACACACACGAGGTGGTTGCGTCGACATGGCAGACACGACCAATCATCCAATCGCGAGTGATCTAATCGTATTTCGCGATTGGTCGATGGATGCGTTAGCTGTGTCGACATTGCCACCATGATCATCCATTGGGAAGATCGGCGGACATGACATTGGGACAGCCCACAAAACCACCGCGTGTTTCGATTGATCATCCATTGGACAGATCGGCGGACATGACATTGTGACAGCACACAAAACCGCCGCGTGTTCGATCCGAGCTGTGTCGACATTGCCACCTCGTGTTTCGATTGATCATCCATTGGGGCAGATCGGGTATGGCAAGTGCTCACAATGACGTTGTGTTTCGTTATTGGCCGCCCCGTGTTCGATCCGAGTTTCCGTGCTTCGCCACTTGAGAACAGCACGAGCGCAATCGTCTATTGATACTCTCCTCACACATCCTCACACATCCACACACAAGCGGAATCGAAGGGTGAACCATGACTTTCGTCCCTGACCGCGCACGTTCGCACGCATCTCCCCGCGGAAAACGCACGCGAACACATATGCACAGACAGGCACACACACGCACACACACACACACACACACGCGCTGACACACGGCGCCCACACACACGCGCCCCTCAGGTACAGACGCGCGCACGATCCTGCCTCGCGCGTGTGGCACACACTTCAATACAGACACAAACACAAAGGAACACGCAATCGAACACACACACACACACACAATGAAACATGCACAAACACACAATCACACACAAACACACACACACACACGCCCACCCGCACACATGCAGCCACAAAATCTTTCGATCTGCGCGAGCATATCGTCACAAAAAACCTCCCCCGCACGCACGCACATGCAAACATACATCCCGACTGCGTGCGCACTCACCGTGTGGAACTGCCGAGTGAAGATGAGTGCGAACCCCGGCGTTGGTCGTGACGGCAGTCTGTCCACCTTTGGGCATGCTTTTCGTGTTTGCTGGGGTGCTGTGTGGGGTGGCGGTCGCGCCTTCTGAGAAAGGAGATCGGGAGCGACGTCGAATATGACGTGGACAGCGACTTGGTAGGCGGAGGGACATGCGAGGGCATGTGGGGTGCGTCGGTGCCACGAAACGTGCGCGGTGAAGAATGGTTGTGCCAACTATGGCGCGCTAGCTGTTGACGAGAGTGGCGGTGCGTGGCTTCCGTCGGGCAGCATCTCCCCAACAAAAAAACGCGAAATGCATCGTTAATGCCCAGGGCGCCGCTTGTATTTGTAGGCGCGCGGGACACGAGGCCCCCTCGGGCCTTCCATTTTGGATTTTCGTGCAGGGTCCGCGCGCCGACTCTAGTCTGTTCGATCCGCGCATCGAACGGTGGCTGCACGTCGAAATTGTCGCGAGGGGGGCCTGGTGCGTCGAAATGTGACAAAAACGTCCCTACGGGCTGGCCCTTCCCGGACGTCATTGGAAAACGGGCCCTTATTCCGGGCCCCTCGCGTTCGTGTCTTCGGGTTCGCGGGCCCTGGTGGAGGGGGTCTCAGGTGTCGGCGGGGGGCAGTTTGTACGTTCCAGGGGTGAGGGGGGAGAACCACAGGAGCGGGGAGGGGGGCGGGGGGCTGGGGGAAAGGGGAGGTTGGAGGGGTTCGTGACAATTCGAGTCTCCTGGCTGGCGAGTGGGGTCTGTGGCCGTGCGGGGGGACACAGGCGGTCTTTCCATGGGGTGCGACGACAGTCTGACGCTCAGCTGACTCGGGTCTAGGGCAGCCCTTTCGCATCTCGAGCCTGACAAGCGCATTCGCGCTCGGCGTCCCGTCAGCGACATCCTCCATTGCCTTTTCTGCTCCGCTGTTGCGCCAGGCGGCGGCGGGCGTCTCTGCGTCCTGCGTCAGCAAGTGGCCAACGCCGTTTGCGCTGAGCCCTTGTCGAACAGTTGCGCCATCGTGTGCGCTTCGCCGTCGTCGAAGAACTGCGCCTCCTCGAAGAACTGTGAGCCGTCAAAGAGCAGCGCCATCGTGTGCGTTGTGCCCTCTTCAAGGTAAAGTGTTGTTTTGCCTGCCCTCGTGTCAGGCATGTTTGCCGACCCATGGGAGCAGCCGCGTCGCGCCACCTGTTTCAAGTCGCGAGCGGCCCCGTGATTCTTGCTTGCCATCATCATCATCATCATCATCGCCCCCATCATCACCATCATCGTCGCCACCACCATCAGCGTCATCATCTTCATCATCATCATCATCATCACCATCATTGTCATCGTGATCATCATCTTCTTCATCAACATCATCATCATCATGATCAACAACATCATCATCAACCTCGTCAACGTCATCAACATCGTCATCATCATCGACAACATCATCAACATCATCAACGTCATCAACAACATCATCATCATCAGCGACATCATCGCCGTCATCGAAATCACCGCCATCGTCCTCTTCGTTTTCATCCCCATCATCAACATCGTCATCATCATCGTCATCATCGTCATCATCATCATCGTCGTCATCACAATCATCATCATCATGAACATCATCATCGACATCATCATCGTTATCATCGTCAGCGACATCGTCGCCCAGATCAACATCACCACCGTAATCGTCACTATCATCGTGTTTATCACCGTCGTCATCATTGTCCTCATGTCGTGCCACGTGTGGCAAGTGGCTGGGATGGCGGGAACGGATGGCGTGGGCATCGGGGAACACGGTTTGCGTGTCCCGTTATGCTTCTCTCTCATTCGTTCGACGCGACTGCCCCCACGACTCTTGTTTGGCTTGGCATTGAAGAAAAATTGTCGTTGACCACAAGCTGGGCATTGCAAACCACTCCCGCGCGGTCGAGGAAAACACGAAATCGCCTATTCCCAGCGGAACACGAAACCCCTTCGAAACACTTCCCTCACTCGTTTGCTGTTCTCAACAAAGAGATTAGAGGTTGGTTATCACAAAGGAGACGCATGGGCTGCGCGCGACCGCTGTTGGTACTAAGTGTTGCGCGGTGGCCACGGTGGGAAGGATGTCCGCCGTCCACGTGGCGTGCAGTGAGAGGTAAGGTATTCATAAACAGGAGGGGGTCGTCGTTCTGTATTTGTGTTCTCACCGCAACATTTGAGCCTCCCTCCCCGAAGAGACTATGGCGTCAATCCCGGGAGAGTTGCTGTCGTCTCCATCCCGCGCACACAACGTGCACATGATCCACCATAGAGGCCATGGATGTTGAGCGCGCGCTCTTGGCGCTGGTCGTGAGGGATGCGATATCGCATTCCCCACGACAAATGCTAGGACTGTGCGCGCAACATCCGCGGGCTCCTGAACGAAGAACGCACACGTTGCGTGCGCGCGATGGAGAACGTCTGCGCCGCTCGCTGCAATGACGATGGCGTTTCTTCGGCGTGAGCGCCGCATGTTTCGTGACGATAACCTCAACACGAAAACATGTCCTCGTTCAGTAACGAACAATCCGGCCGCCTCCGGGAAACGTCTCAGTCATCGGGGCAAGGGGGGTCGCCATTGTCACCGCAGACTCGAAACCAACAACAGCCAAACGAAAAACGGCGCGTGGCGTGTGGTTGCCTGGCGAGATGGGAAGTTCGGATCCCGGCGAACTACAGCAATCATGCGCAGTGCTCTCACGAAAGCAGCAATCTGTTGTGGTCGCTCGGCCGCAGGGAGAGCACGCGCAGGTGCGAAAATAGCGCATGATTGTTGTAGTTCGCCGGGATCCGAAGTTCCCGTTTTTTTGGCGGTTGTTGGTTTCGCGTTCGCGGTTACAATGCCATCCCTGGTTGCCCTGATGACTACGTTTTGCGGGACACAGTTCCCACCTTTTGGGCATTGGGTCGATAGTTCATAACGCCATGCCAGTTTTCAGCGTGCGACGAAGTTCGGATTCCGGCAGAGTTGCAATCTGAAGCATGCGAAGTTGCGGGCTACTCGGATGATTATTGTTGTTTCGACCGCGTTGCTGAAATAAGACGCTTACGGTTTGCATGGATCTTTTCAGAGTCCTGGTTGCATGACTGTTCGCTTTGTCGATGAGGATAATCGGGGTCCATGGGGGTCTATTGGGGGCCGCGCTGCGCCAATTTCCGACGTGGTGCACCTGCGACAACCATTTATGTTCGGCGTGCTCTGTTGGAACAAACACTTGTGAGCAGCAAGAGGGCCTCCCTGAACATGCAGCCAAGCCTAGCGTTCCTTCTATGCAATTCCACACCGGTCATCCAAATATCCGTCGTCCCCCGCGCAAACCGGTTCCTGGCCAGTCCAGCAAGCGCCAAGTTCGGATCCCGGCGGACTTTGAGGTCCCGCGTAAATTTAACCGCCGTTTTCGACGGGCACGACTGTCGAGTGCATTCTGATTACGAGAGGCCTCCGGGCACGCAAAAGTGCTCGCATGAGGCTTGGAGCTTCAAGTGTGAGTTGATTGCGCAAGGATTATGGGTGCGAAAAATTGCTCACCTTCTTAGATGCCCTTCGAGGGGTTTGTCGGGGTTGCCGACGGTGATAGCGGTCGTGTCCCTTGTCTGTGTGCCGTCGATCTTTGTTGCCCCCAGAGGGTTTTGACCGTCCTGATGCGCGGATTCTTGTCGCACACATGCTCGTGTTTCTGCCTGGTTTCTGGTTCGCGCTTTCGCACGTCGACGCTACCGGCGCGCGAGCGGGGGTTGCCTTGTCGACTGGCCGAATCGGGATTTGGAAGGGTTGCAGGGGGGGTCTTTCATCAGTTTCTACACATTTCTTGTCTGCGCGGTTGGGATGTCCGATCTCGATGAACTCTTGCCCTAGGGGTCTGTTTGGGGTCGCGCTGCGCCCGATTTTGTGGTGGTGCATCCACCGCTGCCCTTTGCTCTGCGTGTGCTGACGTTCAACGGCAGCTTGAGAGCTGCAGAGCCTTCCTTCTGTGCGGCCGAGGATAGCGTTCCTTGTGTGCACCCGCTGGCGCTCCGTTCCACTGATACCGGCCGCGCAAAAACAGGTTCCTTGCTACTCCCGCACCGGCCAAATTCGGATCCCGAAGGGCTTCGAGGCGCCGCATGAATCTGACCGTTGTTTTCGACGGCTTGGACTTCTCCGTCCGTCCTCAATGCCGGCGGCCTGGTATTGCGCAAAATTGCTCGCCTTGTAAACTGCACTGAACGGGGTTTATTGGGGTTGACGACGGTGTCGCTGGCCAGCTCCATTTCCGGTGTGCGGTAGATCTTCGTTCATCGGCGCCCCAAATTGCGGTGCGCCCGAGCAACGCCTTCTTCTGTGCAAACGCCATCCACCACTTACGAATGCAGGCGAATCCACCAAGTTCGGATCCTGGCGGACTTTGATCATCGACGCGAATCTATCCATCCTTTGCGTAGCGCCTGGAGCTTCGAGTGTGAGTTGATTGCGAGAGGACTGTGGGTGCGAGAAATTGCTCGCCCTCTGAAATGCCCCTCAAGGGGTTCATGGGGGTTGCCGAAAATAAGGGACACGGCCGTTGTCACCGTCGGCAACCCACATTAACCCCTTTGAGGGACACTGACACAAGTCGCGCGAAAACAGGTTCCTTGCTACTCCTGCACCCGCCAAATTCGGATCCCGGGGAACTTAGAGGCTCCCCGTAAATCTGACCGTTATTTTCAACAGCTTGGACTGCCCAGTCCGTCTTCAATGCCGGCGGCCTGGTAGTGAGGAAAAGTTCTCGCCTTGTGAGTTGCCATGAAAGGGGTTTATTGGGGTTGACGACGGTGTCACTGGCCGGGTGCATTTCCGGTGTGCCATGGATCTTCGTTCATCGACACCCCGAAATGCGGTGCGGCCGAGCATCGCCTGCTTCTGTGCAAACGCCATCCACCCGTTCCAATACCTGCAGCTGCAAAAAACCTGTTACTCACTGCAGGCAAATCCGCCAAGTTCGGATCCTGGCGGACTTTGAGGATCGACGCAAATCTATCCGTCCTCCGCATGGCGCCTGGAGCTTCGACTGTGAGTTGATTTTGAGAGGACTGTGGGTGCGAGAAATTGCTCGCCCTCTGAAATGCCCTTGAAGGGGTTCATGGGGGTTGCCGAAAATAAGGGACACGACAGTTGTCAACAAAGGCAACCCCCATAAACCCCTTCAAGGGCATTTATGAAGGCGAGCAATTTTTTACACCCACGATCTTTTTTGCCCCCCCCAAGTGTTTTCACCGTCGCGGTGTGCGGAGTCTTGACGCAGACATGCTTGTGTTTCTGCGTGCTGTCCGGTTCGCGCTGCCGCACGTCGACGTTCCCGGCGCGCGAATCGGGAGTCCCCTTCTCAACTGGCCGAATCAATGTTTGGAAGGGTTTAAGGGGGGGGGTTTCATCCTTTTTTGCATTTTTCTTGTCTGCGCGGTGGAGATGTCCGTGTTCGATAGCTATTGCACTAGTGCCAGCGAATGGAACACCGCACGAGCTCGCTTAGACGATGTGAGAATCAGTGTTTATAGGGGTCTGTTTGGGGTCGTGCTGCGCCGAAGTGTGTGGTGGTGCATCCACCACTACCCTTTGTTCTGCGCGTGCTATCGTTCACCGACAATAGAGCCTTCCTTTTATTCGCCCAAACATAGCGTTCCTTGTGTGCACCCACTGGAGCTACCTAGGGTTACAAAAATTTTTGGTGTTTCAATCAACTTGGGAATTTTGAACGTTTTCGAACCGTAATACCTGAAATTCCGTGGAAACGCGGAAAATTAGGGTTGGACTCCAAAATTTTCGCGAATTTTTTTTCGCTCCCTTGTTTGAGAAATTCCAAAAACGGACTTAGGCTTTTAAAAAATCGGATTTTGCCGGCTGAAATTCCCGAAATTTCACGTTTTTGAAAATTCGAGTGTTTTTTCTCCTGATTTTTCCGGATTTTTTTTTTTGGCAAACTAATCCGAATCTGACCCTCAGAATTGCAACTTCCGGGTAGTTCACTAATTAAACGGTGAACTCCCGGACCATACATTGATCTCAACAGATACCTAATCTTGATAACAATTCAAATTCGTTAATGATCATTATTGCAAATATTGTTTTAATTGATTATCATTAAGAAATCATTATTGCAAATATTGTTTTATCGATTATCATTAAGAATTATTATTTCGAATTAATCATTAATTAAACTTATTGATTAAATAATTCGTTATTATTGTTCTTATTACGAATTTTCGAGTTGTTTACGGAAATTTTATTTTTTTCTGTTTTGATTAGGTGTCTAAGTCCATCATTGGGACAGGGACTGTATGTATATTGCTTGATCTGTTCTATCCCTGTGCCCACCCTCTCCCTCACACTGTTCTGCGACCTTTGGACGAGCGAGCCTTCAGCCGCATTTCTGATGCCAGCAGGGCAAGCCACCGAACAGCAGCCACGACGCAGTAGAAGGATCGCCGATCTCCAACAACAGCGACCTGCAGATCGACAACAGCCTCAGACCAGCACTCAGATGGCGAACACGTCAAAGAGCGGAACACCATCTGAAAGTTCGACATCTGGCAATGCCGAACCCTTACCGGTCTGTCCGGTGCAAGGGCTGAATGAGCCCCTCCCGGACCTCATTCAGAGAGTGCAGGACTATACAGCCGCACTCACCCTTGCCAAAGAACGGCAAGAGGCTGCCGAAGCAGAGAGACTACTGCTAGCAGCGGAAGCTGCAGCCCAAGCCCAGCGTCAAGCTGAGGCAGACCAGTTGGCGACCGATCAGCTCAACGCCAACAGCGCTGAACTTCTAATTTCTAGCCACGAACAGTGGACAGCGGTACTCAACGGGATGCGTTATGTTCCCGTAGCCGGATCCGAGCCAACGACAGTGCAACAGGAGAGGCAAAACCTGGCAGACATTCTACTCAACACAATGCGTGCAGTCATCTGGAACAGCACCACGGGGGAACTTCATTCCAAGTCCACACGACAGCTGCAGCAAGATCTGAACCACAACGTGAAGACACTTGCAGCAGCCGTCAAGGTAGCAGACTCCCAGCTGAAACAGTTGGACGCCCGCATTGCTACTCTGGAGACAAGGCCTCCCCAAGCAGCGCCAGGCTGCACGACAGACACGGCGAAGCAGCTCAACGGGCGCATCGATCATGTTGTCAATCTCATTGGCGACCTAGGTGCTTTTACTGGGCCGGACACGATCAGTAGCACGGTGGCCGCCATCAAGACGGACATCACCAAGCTGCAGACGAGACCGGACGCCGCTACCAAAAGTTTCAAGATGCCGCAGTTCACCATCAGCAAGTTTGACGACTACAACAAGACAAACGCTTTGACATGGTGGCAAGGTTTCCTCACGGAAGCATCCTGCCGCACTGTCCCGGCTGAAGACATGTTGAAGGCGCTCTACCTACAACTGATTGGAGGAGCGCAGGCATGGATGAATCACCTGGCGGCTACCAAGCAATGCACCATCGCCGAACTCCACACACACATTACGTGGAAGGAGTTCGAGCAACTATGGTTCACTCGATTCATGGTCCGCAACGTCGTGAAGGCGGCCATGAACGAGGTGTACACTTGCTCACAAGGAAGTATGCCAACTCGAAACTGGACGATTAAGTGGCAGAAGATAGTGACCACGCCAAGCTTCGATTTGAGTTTTACAAACCAACGATCCGAGTTCTTCTCGCGATCATGCGCAGGATTGCGGTCGACACTCGGCAACGAGTACGACTATACCTTGTTCCAGGCTATTCTGGACCGCGTAAACCTGGTCATCCAAACGGACGACAAGGCCGCTAACGAGAAGCAGTCCCAGCCGCACTATGTGGCTAAGCCGGCCTATCAACGACCAGCACATAACAATGTTGTGGTTTCTGAAGAAACAATCGATCTCCACGCTGCAGCAGCATCCTCGAGTGATGGAGGAATTGTAGCAGCGCTCCCGCCGAAGCGTCCCAAGAGAGTTCGGAAGAACAAGGCGACACAAGAGACGGCATCGACGGGAACTGGGCAGCAGCCATGGACGACATACAAGATAACCAAGGAAATCTATGACCTTCGTCAACGGTACGGATATTGCCTTTGGTGCAATGGAGTCACTCATTTGACTGCACAATGCCCCGAAAAGGGCAAGGCACGCGTATCCCGTCCAGCTAACTCGGAAAACTGAGTTACGCAAGGAGAGGGGCGACGTCTCTCCTCACTCGGCCGGACCCAGTTGCCTTGCTAGCAATCGATGTCACTACCGGGGAGCATGCGTTAGTCGTTGATTCTCGTGCTACGTACGAGGATTATGTCGCCCAGCTGGTACCACCACTAGACCAGTCGACCCACGTGCACTTAGATTGCGTATGCGCAACTTGTACACCGTCGGCAAGTGATTCGGTCAGCTCGCCACTGATTACCGAGGACTCGACGGCGTGGTCAAAATTTTGAGGAGCTTGACCCGCTCACGAGAGAGGACTTCGCTTGGATGCCTCTTCCCTCAACCGGAACCTTGCCAAGGCCACATTGCAACGCCTTGATGGCAAATCTACGCGGTTGTCGATCTCCGCTCCTATCTTGCGAAGATTGACCACGAGTACGCCACCCAAAGGTACTCCGAAACCGACGCGCCTTTGCTCTATATCCGCATTCAAATCGGAAAGGCAACTTGTAGTGCCTTGATTGATTGCGGAGCGTCTCGCAACTTTATGAGCCAAGCCTTTATGGCCCGCGCGTTCGAAGGAAGACGCAACCCACGCAAGTTACACTCGCGGACGGCCGCACGCAAAAGTCAATTGACCGATGCGTCGACGGCGTTCCGGTATACTTTGCGCCACTTGCGTGCGAGCCGGTGTCTTTTGACATCCTCGACACCAAGTTCGACATAACTCTAGGCATGTCTTGGTTGCGTAGCGCCGATCATCCGGTGAACTTCCACGACCGGACCGTTCACATCCGTTATCGGAACGGAGTGTTAGTCCCATGTACGGTCGCAACCCCTCACACTTCGATTGCTTGTCACGTGGTGTCCGTTGCGAGAATTCGTGACGTCATTGCTCGGAATGACGTCGAGGAAATGGACCCTGTATTCTTGCATGCTCTCCCCTCGCCGGACGGACCAACCGCGTCACCGTCGGACCCACGCATTTCTCACCTCTTGGACGAGTATAGAGATGTTTTCGAGGCTCCCACCGGAACRGTTCCGGATCGGCCCATACGTCACGGGATCACTCTCGAGGCTGGCGTCGTCCCTCCGCGTGGATGTATCTACCGCCTGAGCGAAAACGAACTCGAGGTGCTTCGCGCGCAACTTGATGACCTTCTCGACAAGGGCTGGATTCGCCCTAGTTGCTCGCCTTACGATGCACCTGTTCTCTTCGTCCGGAAGAAGAACAAAGATCTACGGTTATGCATCGACTATCGCAAACTTAACGCACAAATCGTAAAGAACGTCGGCCCTCTCCCTCGGATTGATGATCTCCTTGAGCGGTTAGGCGGCGCGACGTACTTCTCGAAGTTGGACTTGAAGTTGGGCTACCACCAGATTGAAATCCAGCCTCAAGATCGGTACAAGACCACGTTCAAGACGCGGTGCGGGCATTCTCAGTGGGTTGTCATGCCATTTGGCCTCACCAATGCCCCCGCGACTTTCCAAGCAGCTATGACGACTGAGTTTCGCGACTTGCTCGATCGCAGCGTCCTCATCTACCTCGACGACATCTTGGTTTATAGTAGGACGTTGGATGAGCACATCGTACACCTTCGCGCTGTTTTGGATCGTTTGCGACTGACCAAGTACAAAGCGAATCTCGACAAGTGCGAGTTCGCCAAGCAGGAGCTTGAGTACTTGGGACATTTTGTCAAGCCGAAAGGCATTCGTCCCTTAACGGACAAGATCCAAGCCATCGTGGATTGGTCGGAACCCCGTTGCACGACGGATGTACGCTCTTTCATGGGTTTGGCTGGATATTATCAGCGATTCGTCGAGTCATACTCGAAAGTGGCCGCTCCTTTGTCGAGACTTCAGTCCCCGAAGGTGCCCTTCGAGTTCGACGACGCAGCCCGTGGCGCGTTCACTACGTTGAAGGCAGCGATGCAAGCCGCACCTGCACTGCGTATATATGACCCCACCCTTCCCACCCAAGTGACTACGGACGCTTCGGGATACGGTATTGGTGCGGTGTTGGAACARTGTCACGAGGACGGTTGGCATCCGGTCGAGTATTTCTCCCAAAAGGTGCCTCTCGTCAACACTCTCGACGACGCTAGGAAGAAAGAGCTACTCGCATTTGTCACCGTTCTCAAACGGTGGCGCCACTTTCTTCTCGGCCGTCGGCGTTTTAAATGAAATACGGACAACAATCCGTTGACCTTTTACAAAACGCAGGATACAGTCACTAACACGATCGGTCGATGGATGTATTAGATCGACCACTTCGATTTTGACCCGTGCCACATTCCCGGTCCCGCCAATCGAGCTGCGGACGCCCTCTCACGACGGCCCGACTTTTGTGCCATTCTTACCACGACATTCGACCTCGATGACGATCTGCAGCCGCATTTCGTCAAAGGCTACAAGTCCGATCCAACATACTCTACGCTTTACGCGGAGCTTTCATTAGATCACCCGCCGGATAGCCACTAACGGATTTCCGACGGGTTCCTTCTCCTTCACACGAGAGGAAGGGACTTGTTAGTTGTGCCCCAAGATCGCATCTTACGGACTCGTCTCCTCGGTGAATTCCGCGACGCACGGCTTTCGACACACCTTGGCGTGAACCGCACATTAGCACGCCTCCGCCAGCGTTTTCACTGGCCCGACGTCCTTCATGATGTCACGAGGTACATTGAGTCATGTGCAGTTTGCCACCATAACAAGGGTCGATCTCGAGTCCCCTTCGGTGAACTGAAACCGTTGCCGATTCCTCGGGCACCGCGCCTCTCCATTGCTATGGACGTGACATGCCCGTTTCCCCACGATCGCCACGACCATGACGGTATTCTCACGGTCGTTGACCGTTTGAGCAAGTATGCTCGCTTCCTTTCTTGCAAGTATCATGCTGCAGCGGCTAAGCTCGCACGACTCTTGCACACCGGTTGGATTACCAACCAGGGTGTTCCGGAAGACATAGTGAGCGACCGAGATACTCGCTTCATGTCGACCTTTTGAACTTCCCTCATGGCTGAGTCCGGTACGACAATGAAGCCTAGCTCGGCTCGACTCCCGCAGACGGATGGCCAGACGGAGCGAGCGCACCAGACCGCTCAGATGATGTTGCGTACGCTCATCCGTCCCGACCAGAAAGATTGGGTTGACCGGCTTCCCGACATCGAGTTCGCGTATAACACTTCAGTGCACCCGACGATCTGCGTCACACCATTCGAGCTACATCGTGATGGAGAGAAAGCACGGATCTTCGCTGATCTCCTTTTGCCACAGGCTGCCGACATAGACGTCCCTTGCTCTCCCGCTTCCGTTCGGAAGTACCGGGAGTTGCTGATCAAAACCCGCGCGAATATGCAAAAGGCTCAGATCCGCATGCAGCAGCAGGCTAACCGACGTCGACTTCCGTCCTTTCCGCGAGGGAGACCTTGTTTGGGTCCTCTCCGAGGAATTTGCGCTCGAGCAGGACGTTTCGCGCAAACTCCTTCCGAAATGGTTCGGACCATGGGAAGTCACTTCTGCCGTTGGAGATGACCCCGCAGGTCCTTCCTTTGTGGTCAACATTCCTCCGCGCCTTCCCGTGCACGGGGTCTTCCACGCGTCGAAGCTGGCCATCTACACGCCACCTTCCGCCGACGAGTTTCTCGGCCGTCGATCACAGGATCCTCCTTCTATGGACGGACATCAGGAAGTCGGCCGAGTCATCATGCACCGCAAGTATGGCAACAAGCCAATGCAGTTCAAAGTCACATTCAAGCAATGTGCGCCGGATGACACTCGGTGGATCTCCAGTACAGATTTGCAGACTTCTGCACCCCTTATCTTCGCCGACTATGAGAAGCGACGCCTTGCTAAGGAAGCAGCTCGTCCCGCCCGACCCACCCYGGTATCGGACAKACAACTTCGCMCTCGYAGGTAGCTCGGTCTTTTAAGAGGGGGAGTGTGTTACATCTTCGACGCCACACGGGCCCTACCGGACCCGACTTAGGGCCAGAGGGACACAGTAGGGCYTAAAGGCCCGACCTTGGGGGTAYTACAGGCCGTAAAGGCCTCATCTTGGACCAGACCYGACGGGCAGGCCCAAACGACATTACCGTTTGGGCCTGGCGGCGCTCTTGAAGCTGCCGCCCGCCGGTTGAGGCTGAACCGTCAATCTTGACGGTTCAGGACACGGCCAGGCCTCGCAGCATAGAGGCCGGCCTCTGCCCCACCGGTATAAAGGTACCGGTCCAGCCTCATTCAGTATCGAACCACCGGCAACTCAGCGGTGCCTTATGGTTAGCGCCAGAGCGCTAGCGCTATTCTTAGCGCAGGAGTACAAGGAGCAGCGGCAGCAGCAGTAGCGCAGCAGCGGCAGCGAGCGGAGCAGCAGCAGCGGCGACTGAGCATATCAGCGGCCATAGCCGCCTGAGGTGTCGGGAGCCGGAGGTTCTCTCCTCCCTCCAATCGCCAGTCCCCTCTCTCTCTCTCTCCTCCTCGACTCCCTTCTTCTTCTTCTTCTTCTTCTTCTTCTTCTTCTTCTTCTTCTTCTTCAGACTGGAGACTTATACTAGTTGGACAGAGATCAGAGATCAGAGTTGGACTTCGGTGGTAAGAGGCTGTGGTACTTACCGGGTTCGAGACTTGGAGATTGTTGGGGATGATACTCGGCTGCATCACAGATTGGACACCGGTTACATTAGGACTCTGTATCCCTGACATTGGTGACTTATTGTCCACGACATTTGATCTTGTTCGATGACATTTTGGATAACCATATCGGTGACCTACTAGTTTCTATCTCGGTGACATCTGGTGCTACCTACATCTCCCACCTCCTTCGTCTCTCCTCCCACCTTTCATCTGTGTATGTGTGTACGGGGCTGAGTATCGTCCATGTATGGCTCAGACCCCACCATCTCACGATTGTATGTGTGTGGAGTGATATCTGTGTGAGTCAGTCTATGTGAGTCAGTCCGTTTATCAGACTTCCGTTGCATACATACTCATCCTATATTGGTTGATCTTTGGTTCTGCCCCATACTCGTTGATAAAATCACGAGTATGTAACACCCACACGGCAGGCATCTTTGGCCAATGCGGGCATTGCCGGCACGCCTGTCTCTTATACACATCTAGATGTGTATAAGAGACAGCACACACACACACACACACACACACACACACGGCCCCCAGCCCATCCCCCTGCGCCAAAACCCATCTGCGCAAACGTGTTTACCCGCGTTTAGTGAACGCGCGTTCACCACGTTCAAAACCTGAACACGAACGAGCGGTAACATAGAACTAATCTACATTTCAAACACTGGAGGATCTGTATTCGGTGTTGCTTTGGGCTGAATACATCCTACATCATATCTGGCCAAATTAACAAAAAAGCATCTGGCCTTATCGTCTGTTCAATACGTTTGTTAAAGCTCAGAGGGGCTACTAGTATTGTAAAGTTGTAAACTACTAAACGTGATGAAGAGCTAGCGACAGCGGCGTTGCTGCGGGCAGTGGGAGAGCGCGCAACAGCGGTGGGAGTGCTTCGACAGCTCTACGAGCTGTGCTTCGACAGCTCTACGAGTGGGAGAGCTTGCTTCGACTTCGGCATGCCTCGAGAAGAAGGCTGTATTCAAAGGAGAAAGTATTTTCATGCTCTTATGTGGGATATTCTTGTGCTCTGTACTTGGTCCTATTCAGGCGATAGATTCACTGATTAGAAGCACGCTAAAAGGAGATTTCCTCTCTTCTTGCAGATAGTAGCACAGTGGGATATTTTAATCCTGGTGCTCGTACTTTGCCCTATTCATGGGATCGATAGTTTGATTACTTGCACGATGAATGGGATGTTTTTTGGCTTCTTCCTGCATATAGTGCATCATAGCTGAGTAAGGATTGCTGTTAATTTTTCCTTGAAGATTGTCTTATTTGTCGGACCTAACCTGTGTCATGTACCTGGCAGCCTGTAGAAGTAGATTAGTGCATTAATTGCGTTTGGCCAGAGCGATAGGCCAGATTCATCAAGTTAGACTAGTATCATGCTCTTTGCTGGGCGAGATCTTTGCATGACAGCTTTTTTAATTGTAGGCTATTGGAAAATGTTTTCTACTTTTCTGAGTACGGTGTTCTTCTTCTATGTGTTCTTCTTTCTATGTCGGTTTAGGCACACGTCACCACAACAGTTTCCTTTGCCAGTAGACTGGCTTCAGTGATCCTTACACTGCTTTAACACTCTCTGCCAGTGGGTCCTCTGTTGCTTTGTACCGCTTCTACATGTGGAAAGTCAGCATTGGGGCTGAGTTTGGACGAAATACATCGAGTTTGGCCTCATAGAAAGAATGAGGGACACAGATTACTGCACAGACAGTGACTGGGGTAGGACGCGTGTAGGTGGTTTGTCAATGAACATTGAACATTGCCCCCCCTCCGCAACTTCAAGGTTGCTTGGTCATTGAGATGGCTTCTACAACTTCAGGGCTTCTTGGGCAGTGTACCCGGTCACACCATATCTCAATATTGAATATGCACGCTGTTCCTGTTTGAAGACAAGGACCGGTTGGCGGCAGGAGAGAGAACGGACTTGAGACCGAGACCTCTCGCTCTTGCAGCAGGTCGAATTCAAGGCACCTTAGCAACTTGGAGGTCTGAGTTGGGTATCTGGCTTGCTTGCGGTGGTTTCCCTATCTTGCTTTGCATGTAGGGAAGAGTTTTGTACTCATGCTGAGTTCAGGGCTAAATCCATCGAGAGTGGCCTGTTACAAGGATGGACAGCCACAGGTTAATGTGCAGACAGCGAGCAGGATTGGTCACATGCGTGTGGTACATCCAAGTCGTTGCTTGCTTCAACAATCTCTTCTTGTTGTTCTTCATGCTGCTCCTACACGTTGTGAAGAATCAGGTATTCAGTCTGATTTCGGCTGATTTCGAATTGGGTACCTGACCCGTTGTACAGGCCAGATTTTGAGGCGGAATAGCAGGATGCATTTATCTAGTCGTAATGTAGTGTCATTTTAAGCACATTGTATAACCCGGGCGTATCTGTTGGAGTTTTAGGCTCTAAGTAATTCAGTCAGCTGGTTATGCTCCTGAGGAGTACATCGTACAGTTACGTTCCAATAAAATTGCTTGGAAAATACAATATCATGGGTAGCGGCACTACGGAGGCAGTGTGAGTGCCCCCGCCAGTGGTGGGAGCGCTATTCCCTGCAGTTAGCATCTTTAGGATAGGAAGCAAACTTGAACTGTATCCATGGTGATCTTGGTCCGATTGATTATAGATCTCATAGAAGATCCAAGGGTGTGTGGTGAGAAACCCGCCTAGGTGGTTCAGGTGTCCTTGGGATTGCACTGTTTGGGTTAACGTTGATCAAATGAGTTGGGAGTCGTCCATTGTTGAGTTTAGCTCAGGGCAGTTGTGTTTGTGCTTAGAGCTTGTTCTGTCTATCAAAGAAAAAGAAAAGAGAAAAAAAAGAAAAG